AGATTGGAAAGCAGTAGTGTTGTAGTGCAGAGCTTTTTCTTTCTGTTTTGTAAGATGGCCTCCTTGGCCATCTCGTGTTCTTCGCTCTATCCTATTTGAATAATACTGTTTCTTTTCAAAAAAAAAATGGGTATTTCACTAAATATCTCTTTAATTTATCCATAAATGTAAAAAGATCTAATTCTCAATAAATTAAGGTGGGCTTCAAAACAGTTGTATCAGCCAACTAGCTAAGAGCATCCACAATCATGCTCTCTATTTTTTGGTTAAATTTTAGCTAAAAACACATATAAGTTATTTTAGAAGCTCTTTATAAAATTTAAACTCCAATCATGCTCTCTAATTTAGGGAGTCAAAAATGCTATAACTCTTTTTTAATTGGTCCATCTCTATTAAAAAATAATATAAAAATTAATTAACATTAATTAAAGGTTTGAAATATTCATTAAATAAAACAAGCATTAAATTATAAGGAGCCACTAGGAGTCCTTTCTCTCTCCTCAGATTTAGGAGCTCCTAGAGGACTCCCTATTTTAGGAGGTGGATAGAGAGCATGGTTGGAGTTGCATTTTTCCAAATCCTCCCTAAAATTTGTCTAAGGAGGTGGTTTATGGAGCCCATTGTGGATGCTCTAATGGATTGTCTCCCAAATCAGACCAAGGTGTTAAACTGATGCATTTATACTACAAAAAAAAACTGTATGTTTTTCTCCCAAATTCAAAGCAATGATAGCCATCAAAATAAAGAATAATTAGGCTCAATAAAACTTGCAATAATATCACATAAACTCTCTGCCCGTTTTCGCAAAAACTTAATAGTTATAAATGAAAATAAAGAATCAATATAGCAATTTGTTGGCACTAAAAACTGAATAGATGGAGATGAGTGCAACTTACAATCGAGATGGACGATCTAGGAGATCGATTGAGTGGTAAATGGAGATTCTTCCTGTCTTCAGATGCTGATCCTGAATAGAAGATAAGCGAAGCTCGTGAGGTCTACGGAACCGGTGTGGAACCAGCCCAAGACCCTCCGATGCTCAAGTAAGATTGTTTTTAAGAGCTCTTGCTGTTGACCATATAGAAGTATAAAAGTCAAGCTGAAAAGTCTTACCCCTGTATTGTAGTGGAAGGGGCATATTTATAGAGGGCATTTAGTATGCTCTTAGTGCTCATTTTCGATGTGGGACTCGTGGGAGGGCCCTATGAGGTTGACACGAGTCCTTAGATATTTCAGGCGGGTGCTTCGAGGTAGATTCTGCAGAATCGGTAGGGGATACCGATTCTAGGCTGTGTTGGGCCCTGTAATGATCTTTTGCTGCTTTGAGACAATATCATCAGTAGCCTATGCCGATTGTCCGAGGCCTTGGGTGCTTGGGCGAGTTTATGAGATCCACGTGTCGTTGTATGAGTGGAGGGTCAGGTATGGTACAAACACAATTGAATACACAAATAGGCCAAAGCTAAAATTGACACAATATTAAACTACAAAATAACTGTTTGCTTTTTTCCACCTTTTTTTTTCCTTTCAAGAATTTGAAATCAAAGTAAATAGTATACTACACAGATTTGCGAAGATGCAACCATTGAATATTCAAATCAAATTTGTCTTCATAAAAGGAAAACTTAATTTTCTGTTGACCAATGATGCTTTATTCCTTCATAATGCATTAAACCACATAAAGATAGTGCGTAGAAACCCAACGTTAAAAATTGTAATTTCAAACAATAAACTTTACTGGCCTTCAACCTGCCCTTGTGGTTAGTGCGCTTGCACTAAGTCCTAGTGGTCTTGGGTTCGAAGGTTGGTACCACCTTCTCTCAAAACCCAAAACAATAAACTTTAGTGCCAAGAATATATTATAATTGCTTCTCACGTTGGTGTTAAGCAATTATAATATATTCTTCAACGTTTTGAAATTTTAATGAAAACAAATTAGACCAACGATTTTGAAACACTTCAACGTTTCAATTTTAAAACACTTCAACCGTTCAGCATTGGATGTTTCAATGTAAATTGATTAATGAATAATAATTAAGTAATTGGTAATGAAACAATACAAGCTATTTAAAACAAACAATAACTTAGAAAAAACGTAGCACACTTCAATTTTGTTTTTATTTCAATGGTCATTTTAATTAGCCTTTGAATACTATTAACATTATTAAGATTCTAAAATCTATATATATAAAGCAAAAGGTAGACAACGGTGAAACATTCAAAATACCAGAAAATGCCCTTGGTTGATACAAACATTAAGAATTGAAATTATTAATTAAATGAGGATAATATGGTAAATACACACTTTTTCATATTAAAAAATTTTAAAATTAAAAGAAAAATCAGATAATGGATCCTCCTTTTAAGGAACACAACTACCCATTATCTTTTTTTAATTCTGAAATAAATTTAATTTTAAAAAAAAAAAAAGCCTCTCGCAGGCGCGGAAGCGCATGCAAAGAGGCTAGTTTATTTTAAAGACAATTGTGCATACTAATTTAAGGATATTGACTTTGGTTTGTGTAGAAAACGGGAACACCAAATATTTAGCTTTATATTGATTTTGTAATTAATTTGCTAGTTGTCTTTGAGCAATTAAAGATTTGAATCTCTTCCAAAACGTTGAGCTATAATAATAAAAGAGATTTTCTATTTAAACCCCGCACTTCTCTTTGTTCACCCCAATACTTAAATCATTAAGTTGTAAGTTTTATTATTGTGTAAAAAGACAAAAAAGTTCATCCAACTTAATACTTAACCCTACCTAATACATCTATACACACACCCCACACATCCCACCACTCTTCATATTAAGTTTTAGAAGGACCTATGCAAGAAGCACAATTTTCCTTACAAGAGTTTGTCTTTCTGGGATGCCAATGTAACCACTATTAGGCTTCTAAGGTCTGCTGCCCGGAAGGCTTGGGACATGGATCTTCCAATCCCGAAGAACTCGCCCTGGGAAGCTGTTAATACCCATGGCTGAGATTTGTTGACGATCATCAAGATATTGCCCCCACATTACCTTTATCTGTTTATAAGTTGGGGTATCTAGGATGGAGATAAATTTTTCAGCAGGTTTTTCAATTGCTATTTGATATTTTTTTTTGGCACTCCCTTCGACAGTACTTGATTTAAATATGTTTCTCTGTTACGACCTCCATAACAAGCTACAATTTCCCATATTATCTAGTCACATGATAAAAACAGCTTGTGAAAATAACAAAATCTCATGTATACTACAAATATTGTTTAATGATTTAAGTATTGGGGTAAACAAAGAAAATTGTGGGGTTTAAATAGAAAGTCTCTTTTATTTCTTATTTTTTCAGTTTGGGGTGTATTTAAGGGTAGTTTGGGAAGATAGTGGGGTTTTCTTAGAAATTGTGAAAATTTAAATTAAAAGTTGGGGTGAACTTAGAACATGGGGTGAACTAAGAGAAGTGTGGGGTTTAAATAGAAAATCTCATAATAAAATCACATAAATTAGTCTGTCGGTTTTTTTTCCTTTTTAAAAAACACTAGCAGTAACTGCCCAAATGTTAGCAACAAATTATAAAATATAAATGTACCAACAACATTTAAAGCAATTGAAATTGTATAGACAACATGAAAGCTTTAAACTGCATCTACCTAAAACAAATCGTAATTTTCAGTTTGAAAATCCAATACAAATGCAAAAGCTTCAGTTAAAGAGTTAAAAGGTATTAAAGCAATAGCAATACGGGAAGAAAACAATTTTAACATACAAAGGCTTTAGATTGTTATAAAAATTATAGTTTTCCTTTCCGTAAAGCCAAATACAAAAACTTTTATATTTGTTCACCCGTTTTGATTTGTTTCCTGTGATGGTAGGGTAAAGTTCCCCATTAATCCAAAGATCATGGTTGGTCAATAAATTAACTTTCTTTGTGTGTCGAGCGTGCCATCGTTAACAATTTTTCAATTCTAACAGACTTGAGAGTAAAAATAACTTGCTCCCCAAGCTATTGACTTTGAACAAACGATTGTGAATTTGGGTGAGGAATATCTCCCAATCGTTAACAATTTTTCAATTCTAACATACTTGAGAGTAAAAATAACTTGCTCCCCAAGCTATTGACTTTGAACAAACGATTGTGAATTTGGGTGAGGAATATCTCCCAAGTAAGTTCTTTTCTATGCCTTAGACTGGTAAGGACTTCATAATTTTTCACAGTATAAAACTGGTAGTTCTGGCCAGAATAAATGATAACAGAGTGAGCCTTTTTTAGGCAGAACTCCCTTTTACAAAGCTCAAAAAGGGAAAACTAACTATAAAAAGACAAAAAGAGGGCTGTGTTTCCATTTCTGTCTGGGTAGATGCCTCTGTTCTCGCGCTGGACTGGGTATGCCTGTGCTGGACTGGACTTTCAACAACTTCAACTGTTAGGCTTCGGCTGCAAATCGATACCAAAGCTTGAGTTTGGCAGAGCTTTAATCTATTTCAGGCCCTGGAAGGCTTTTGGATGGGCAAAACTGGGACTTCTCCAGTCTGAAAGGAGCAGAAGTGGTTGGACTCAAGCTGGAGCTGTACTGTGGTACCTGTGCTGCTTAGTCAGGGCTCTCCATAAATTTGTTGAGGTTTTCGTATTTGTGAAAACTCAAACTCTGCTTGTCTTGGCTTTGCTAAACCAAATTTGTAACGAGAGAAATCTCGTTTTGCTGGTTTGTGAACTGGGGTTCGAATCAGAAACAGTGTTCTGACTGTCTTTGCTGAGAGAAAACAGGATGATTCTGCAAGCTTGTTGTGAAGCTTTTGAAATTGAAATGTTTTAGACTCTGGGTCTGTTTGAATCTGTTTGAAAGATTTTCTGAGATCAAGTGATCATTTTGAGTGTTTGTCTTTTGATTGAGTTTTTGGTTGTTTGATTGAATTGTTGATTGTCGGGGTGCCTTTCTCTGTTCACTCTCTCCTATATTTATAAGAAATGCTTTTGAGAGCGAGAGTTTTGATTCTTTTAATACTGGGCGGCAAACAATGTTAAAAGATCTTTTAGTTTAAAAAAGAAAAAGAAAAGGAGTTCTATCCATTCTCTGGCAAGTAAGCACTCAACAATCAGTTCCTGAAGTGATCATTTCCCTGTATTTTGATGGGGTTCCATACCCTTCTTTCAATTCAACTGCTTTTGCAAGAGTCTGAAGCTTGTGATGGTAAGTTCTCAGTTTTTGAGCAACTCCATGTTTCTCGCTTATCTCCTTTTCATAAAAACAGAGTCTGCTTATCCCTTGAAAATGGTGCCCTCTTTGGAGCAGAAAAATATCTTTGAATAAACAAAACGGAACTTGATCTCTTGGCAGCAGAGATTTTTCAGAGACGTTCTTCTTTATATCTGCCCCTGTTCTTCCCTTATTAATTCCAGTTGAAATTGTTGACTTTTCTTTAGAACAGAGGATCACGTCAGTCTGTCCCTTTTCTTTTAATTTAAAACCAGTTGAGTCCAGTTTTGTTTCAAGCCCAATTTGAGTTTCTTCGAGGCCCAAGTCTCCTCTTGACTTTGACTGCTTCCAGGCCTCCAATGTTTGGGCCGAATGCATTGCTTTGGCCCGTTTATTTGATAATGGGCTGGGCGCGTCGATGGACCGAAGGTATTAATTTCAGGTCCATAACAGGCTACCTAACAATGATGTGGGCCTTTATCTCTGGACTGGGCGTGCCAAATTTGGGTCCAAACAATATTATAAATAACATATAAATAAATTGGAAAGCTTTTAAGGTACAATGAAATTGAAGAAAAATAAATTAATAGGTAAGTGAAAGAAAAATAAAAAATAAAAAAGAAAATCATTACCTATCAATACCTATCAATACAAGAAATTGAAGAAAAATAAATTTGTAACAAGGAAAACCATTACCTATCAATACAAGATTTATGAAAATCACAAAGTAACAAAATTGCACTACATGCCTGACCTTTCTTGTTTATTTGGAAATGGTGAAAAGATATTAATATAAGGAAAGAAAGGAAACAGTGCATAAGGGATTTAAAAGAAAAAAAGTGGCAGGGAAGGACAACTTTTGTGACTACAAATAGATTCATGTGTCTAAATCTTTTTGCAATGATCGTGCCTTACAAAAACAGAGTTCTTTTTCTCTAAACAAAAATATCTTAAAACAAAGGAAAGAAGGAAATGGAGTAACAATTTCACAGCAATCTTTAAAAGAAACAATGAGATTACAATGATTATGGTTCCAAAACAATACCAGGCATTAAATTAACACATAAATGTTGAGAAAAATACGAAGAGCAGAGAGAGAGAGAGAGAGAGGGATCGTAAATAATACTTCAGCCAAGAATAATCTCAACTCCTACACAAATCACAAGCAGATAAAGAAAAATGATATCAACATATATTCCTATTAAATTACAGTAACATATCAATAAAACACAAAAAAAAATCAATATAACAGCAATACCATAGCAATACAAAAGCAATACCACTACAATACAACCGCAATAAAATCACAATACGATTGCAAATAGCAAATCAACAATGCTACCTGACTATGATATAATCATAACAAGTTCATAGAAAATCCCAATACCAATTGCAAGAATCAATCGACAAAGAACAAACACATTTGTTGTTTCAGACAAACAAATCATTACTTTTTTCGACACAGAGAATTTAAATGCCCACAAAATCATTACCGTTTTCCCTACTCACTCGATGAGCTAACTATTAAAGTGGGAAGGGAGGACCCCCATTAAAACTACAAAATTCCATAACAAAAAGAAAAAGTAAAGGTAATGCCGGTCAAAAGAAAAAGTAAAGGTTAGCTTGTCAAAAGAAAAAGTAAGGCATCTTGAAAAGCATGTCACCGTCAAAGATAAAAAGTTACTGATTCCTTACGCTTGAAGGTGCAAACGAAATTTCTCTTGATGAGGTGAATCCAGTCAATGAAAGGCTAAACAATTGTTAATAGATGTTAGTCAAAAAGAAAAAAGCATTATCATGAGTTGATGGAAGAAAGCTTTTGCGCGTCCAAAAGGAAGTATCACTATCAAAGGCAACGTTAAAGGTTCTTTTCCTTACCTTTTACTATTATGGCTCTCACATGCACTTAGAAGACTTTCATCACAAGACTAGGAGTGTGCCTCTTCTTTTTGTTTTTGTGGCTGTTCAATTTCTAACATGTTAAATCATGTTACACAGTAATTAGGCACTGCTTAAAGACATTGATAAGCCTTTGCTTTGAATGTGTTTCTTGTTCTAGCATATATTGTTGCAAAGGCACTAAAATTTCTACTTGATTTGGTACTTATGGCCCTTTTGGTTTTGATTGTATGAAAATACTCCTAGCTGTGATCAGATTTATTTTAACATTTTATAATTAGTTTATATCACATACTTCACAGGGTGATCTACCATGTGAAGCTGCTTTAGACAAACATGGTGCGGCAAAGGTACAGTCTAGTTTGTATTTGGCCTGTTTTGTAGGTAAAAGAAAAGGGTCAATGGGGGGCAATTGACACCAACTGTCCGAGTAGGTATCACCGCCCAAGAGGAGAAAGTTCCTTACCATTTACTTCAACACATTCACACTGTAGTGTAGGTACGTAGAATAAGACAGAAATTGTGTTGACGTATAAAAAAATACCGTTCAATAGTCAATGGGAAAAAGGGATAGGGATACATAGAAGACCCCATTAAGATTACAATATCTATATAGAAAATTTTAACCTCACAAATCTTGATAATATTAATATATATGGTGAGGGCTAGCTGGTAAACAAAAGAAAGAGTTCCAACTAGTCTATGACAATATAAATATACATTTTCTCAAGTTTCCACAAACTCTGACATTTTTGGTTTCTTATCTTCATCAGGAAAGCAGAGATCAAGGCAAGGGTTAAAATCCATGGCAAGCGTTGTTATTTTTAAAATATTATTTGTACTTAACAGTGTTAAGAGTTTGACGTGTCATATTATAGATCTTTATATTATTAGAATGATTTAAATTTAATAAAATGCGGGCAAATGCATGATTATTATGCAGACATTCAAAATCTTGAACAAAATACCTATTTATCATGTAATCAAAGTAAGAGAGTTACCGTTAAAGATAAGAAGTTACCTTGAAGGTTCGTGTAAGACTCTTACAAGTTGGCATAGACCATGGCATGGTTTTGATGTTTTGCACCATGCCATGACAAGCCAAAGGTGCATGGAAGGTGCACTAGTGAAGTAAGGCAATGTCAGGAGACATGTGCTTTGGCCTGAGAGTTGGCAGCCAGGACATGGCAGCACAGCAAACTTGGTGGGGTTGGCATTGGCGCTGTCGACAAAAGTACACAGGAGTTGTCGACAGGTAATGCGCGTAGCGTGTGTGCAGGCTGCGCAACGGATGTCGACCGCCGACAGATGCAAATGGGCGCTGTCAATAGATACCGAGAGCTGTCGACATGTACCATCGACAGATGCCGAGAGATGCCGAGAGAAGATGTCGAGACATGCCGAGGAAAGCTGTCGACAGGAGCTATGCGTAGCGTGCACACAGGATACGCAACAGATGTCGACAGAAACTGGCGCAAGTCTGGAAGCGAAAGGCAGTTACGCTGGTGCCCAGCGTGCGCCCAGAATGCGCAACGCACATAGACAGATCGTGGGCTGGACGTGGTAGTTGGCTGAAAACGTGCTGGAGTGGGTTTATGACATGGCAAAACGGTTTTTAAGCAGTCCATAGGTGGTTGGACATGGCTAGAGTTGCTATATGCTTAAAACTCGAGTTGTGGCTAATCTTGGAGCAAGAGTGGGTGGTTACTATAGAGTGGCAGCATGTTCCAAGGAGTGGGGAGATTTTTAAGGAGGAAAATCTGTCCCATGACAGAAGTGGGCTGCAAGGTGGCGGCCTGTGAATGCTAGTCTAGATGGCTAATCTAACGGTTAGCAAGGTTGCCTAAGTAGATGGGGGTGTCATCTACATAATGTAGGGCTTATAAATACCTTGTGAAGGTGTGGTTGAGATACCAAGTGATGTGGTAATCCAACTAAAAGTGAGAGCTTATAATCCTTTGCTATTTGTGAATAGAAGATTGGGAACTTTCCCGTATATGTGTGTATGAGAGTTTCCTGCATGTGGCAAGTCTTACTTGTGACAGTGTTGGTGTCACTTATTCCGTTGCGTGTGCTCTGAAGCCTCACGAGTTTGAAGGTGAAGAGAAGGCTGACTTAGGAGGAGTTTAAGTGCCGGACAAGGGTCGAAAAATTAAAGGCGTTTTTCACCCCAGTTACAGTTCGTACCCTTAAGGTGGAAACGGGCTAGGAAAAGTGAGTTCCCACTTGGGGTTTGAAAAAGAAGATGAAAAAGACCGTGTTAATGTTGCTGAGATAATATGGTTTCTTGTGTTGCTGAGATAAACAACTCAGAAAACACATATGAATGTCGAAATGAAGCACATGCACCCTCTCATCGGTCAGAACCCACATGACATGAAAGCAACTCTGTAATTATTATTTTTTATATAGCAGTTTATATCAATTGCAAATAATAGTAAAAGGTGGGAAAAGAAATTTTTTTGACACATACCAAACCCACACAGCCCACCCTAGGACATGCACTTGGAAGAGACTTGTCTGCCTCGGGGTCGTCTTTGAATTTTTGTGCCACTTACAATACGTCATGGCTCAATTTTAGTAATGCAGATTAATTTTGACAAAAAGCACATGCGGAATTGGTGCCTTCTCGCTCAAACTTGCAAAAAAAAAGTGTCATAATTTTTTTAACAATAGTATTTGCGGAAGACACCAATTAATCGAAAATACCCTTTAATTTTTTCAAAAGCAACGAAAAGGTGAGACCCATGCTTGTCATGTAGACAATTAAGGAAAATTTTAACGGTCGAAGCTAGATTGCAAAAAATTAAAAAGATTAGGGTACATGAGTGTTAAAATTAGGGGTGCAAGGACAAACATACTTTAAGAGTGAGAGTTCAGGGTACTAAATTGAAATTAACCCAAAAATTAATAAAAAAGAGTTTTGTGAAAACAATTTAAAATCTTGAAAGTGTTTGTGTAATTTCTGAAACTCAAGGGAGTTATGTGAAAGGGCCAAAAAGCTCAATAGGTGTTAGTTTAAATAACTCAATAAAAGAATAAAAAAGAACATTAGGATGTAAATTAAATTAAAACAAAAAACCTTTACTGAAAGAATACATTTTCCATCGAAGGTACCATGTACTGAAAGAAAAAGAGATACAAACCAGCCTTAATAAAAGTGAAGAGGTACCTTAGTCAAAAAGTAGACGTTCCATCATGTATTGAAAGAAAACACATCTGGGAAAAAAAGACGAGAAGTTGCCTTGAAGGTTCCTTACCTATAGATGTTTAGTAAATTAAAGACCGTGTCAGTATGAAAAGAAAATTCAGCCCTATTTGTCATGCATATAAGCTTAGTTCTTACTGTATCGTTTTATTAAGAAAGAAAATCACAATACAAAATCAGATAAGATTCTCTCTGCTTCTTCTTCAATTTTTCAATGTTCTTCAAATTCTTATTGAGGTTTATGGGGAGTTGGGTTACTCCCCCATTGCCAATTGATTCTGGGGTGGAAACTCAACTTCCTTCAGATCTACCCCCTACAACCACTCAACCAATCTCTTCTTCTTCTTCTCCTTCTTCTTTCACTCATGATTCATCATGGACATATGATGTGTTTTTGAGTTTTAGAGGTGAGGATACACGTACCAATTTTACAGATCATTTGTACAAGGCCTTGTGTGATAAGGGCATCTACACCTTCATTGATCGAGAGCTTACAAGAGGAGAAGAAATATCGCCAGCCCTTGTCAAAGCAATTGAAGAATCAAGAATTTCTCTCATTGTATTCTCTGAAAACTATGCATCTTCGAGGTGGTGCTTGGATGAACTTGTCAAGATCCTTCAATGTAAACAATCAAACCAACAAATAGTTTTCCTCATCTTTTACAAGGTGGATCCTTCGGATGTGGGAAACCAAAAAAATAGATTTGGAGATGCATTTAGAGGCCTTATTGAAAGGAAATTCAAGAATGACAAGGAGAAAGTGCTCATATGGAGGAAAGCTCTTAAAAAAGCAGCAAAATTGTCTGGATGGCATTTCAAGGAGGGAGAGTATGTTTCTATCTTTATCATTTTTCAAGTTTTTTTTTTCTCTCTTCTTTCTCATTACTATTTGTTACACATTTAATTGTTACTCGTTATTAAAGAAAAGTATCTTTTTGTAAAAATATTAAATTGTAGGGAGAAGATCTTTATTTTAAATTATTTTTTTTGTGTTTTTGTATTTTCAATAGCTGTAGGGCATAATGTTTAATTTAGTGTCTTGATCCTATATTTTTCAAGCTAACTTAGTTTCTTTTTCTTTTTTTTACTTCGGTTACATTTAATTGTTACTCATTAAAGAAAAGTATTCTTTTGTAAAAATATACAACTGTAGGGAGGATTTATTTTCTTGGGTATTTTTGTATTTTCGATAGCTATAAGGAGAAAGTGTAAAATCCATATATTAATCTCTTCAAAAGGCATATAAGTATAAATCTGATTCATTAAATTTGTGTTCTTTTGCGTGGTTGGATGTTTAAATCTGATTCATTAAATTGATTAAACTGGCAGGTATGAAGCTACATTTATCAACAACATTGTTGATGAAATCATAAGCCGAGTACTGAGATGCACATATTGGAATGTGGCCAAGCACCCAGTTGGAATTCAATCTCATGTACAAGATGTGAAAAAGCTTTTAGATGTTGGTGGGAATGGTCGTCGCATGGTTGGGATATGGGGGACATCTGGAATAGGCAAGACAACAATTGCAAAAGCTATATGGAATGCAATTGCCCACGAATTTCAAGGAGGTTGTTTCTTGCCAAATGTTACAGAAGGAAGCTTAGTCCAGCTACAGGAGACTCTTCTCGATAAGATTCTAGGCAAAAATTGGAAAATTCAGAGTGTTGATGAAGGAATCGGTATTATAAAAGAACGGCTAAGGCATAAAAAGATTCTCTTAATTCTTGACGATGTGGACCAATTGGAGCAGTTGGAAAAATTGGCTGGAGATGATTGGTTTGGTGAGGGTAGTAGAGTAATCATTACTACAAAAAATAGGAGATTGCTTGAGAATCGTGAAATTGAGTTGATATATGAGGTGAAGAAGTTAGATTACAACCAAGCTCTTGAGCTTTTCAGTTGGCATGCATTCCGAAGAAGTGAACCTCCAGAAGATTATTTGGAACTCGCACAACGTGCAATAGCTTTTGCTGATGGCCTTCCACTAGCTCTAACAATTTTAGGTTCTCATCTTCGTGGTATAGACATATGACGTTGGCAAGTTATATTAGATGGTTACGAAGGAGAACCTTATACCCATATTGAAAGAATACTTCAAAAAAGTTATGATGCCTTGCATCATCTTTCAAAAGAATATTTTCTCGACATTGCATGTTTCTTCAAGGGTGAATATGAGGACTATGTGCTACAAATAGTACCCCAAAAATTCATTGAAGAATTCGTTGACAAGGCAATGATAACTATTGAATGGGGTAGGATTTTAATGCACGACTTGCTAGCAAACCTAGGCAAGGATATAGCTCGCAAAGAATCCCCCAATGATCCTGGCCAGCATAGTAGATTGTGGTTTTACGAGGATGTCAAACAAGTTCTAACTGAAAGTACAGTAAGTATCACATATGTTATTATATTCAATTTGACAAGAAAGAATACCTTATGTTACCTTAATTTTCTTAACAAAATGTGCTTGCATTTTGGTTTGTACAATGCCTTCGTTTCCTAATTAATGCTTTTCCATCTTAGGGAACAAGAAATATTAAAGGCATCATGGTGAAGCTTCCAGAACCAACTGAAATAACCTTGAATCCAGAATGCTTCCGTAATATGGTAAATCTTCAAATTTTCATAAACCGTAATGCATCTCTACGTGGGCACATTAACTATCTGCCCAACGCGTTAAGATGGATTGATTGTGGTGGATATCAGTTACAATCTTTGCCACCCAATTTTCTTGGAGAGCGTCTTGTTATGTTCAATATGCCTCACAGTAATATCAGACAATTGGAGAGACTTAAGGTATGCATTTGAAATTATTTTTATCTGTTATATATAATTTCAAATAGAGTTGTTAATTTCAGAAGGAAAAAACGAAAATTGTTTTCTAAGTTTTTGTCTTTTGAAGCGTGTGATTAATTATTTCCTGTTTTTGTGTTCTTGTCTCACAGCATTTGCCAAACCTGACATCTTTGAATTTGAGGGGTTGTCAATTCTTAGAAAAAATCCCAGACTTATCCGGAATCCCAAACATAGAGCACTTGATTCTAAGTGATTGTACACATTTGGTTGAGATTGATGATTCTGTTGGACTCCTTGATAAACTTGTTGTATTACGTCTCGATGGATGCGTTAAGCTTACGAGGTTTGGAACAAGACTTAGATTGAAATCCTTAAAAAAACTTTTTCTAATGGGTTGTAAAAGGCTTGAGAGTTTTCCAGAAATAGAAGTCGAGATGAAATCACTATGGGCATTGAATATGACAGGAAGTGGCATAAGAGAATTGCCTCTATCAATTGCATATCTTACTGGGCTCAGACATTTGATTCTTGGTGGATGCTTCAATCGTACAAGGCTTGAGATTTCCCTAAAATTACAGCTGCTTTATTGCTGGTCCACATTACGAGTACTTAATCTATCTGGAAACAATTTTGTCACACTTCCAGAATGCATTAGAAAATTTGTGAGCTTGTACGAGCTTTATTTGCTTGATTGCAAGAGTCTTCTAGAAATTCCACAAGAAGTGTTTCCACCAAGAGTAGGTCGGGTATTCCTGGATAACTGCACATCATTGGAAAAAGTTCCAAAATTGCCACTATCATCGGAGGTTGAGTTTAAGCATCTGAGTTTGATCAATTGCGTTAGACTACGTGGCTGTGACATCACAGAAAATGTTTTTCTGGATCAAGTTTCTGTCTCTCTTTTTTTTTTGGTCAGAAAGTGGGATTTCATTAACAAGCCAAAGCAGCCACCAAAACGAAACCAAACAAAGGAAAAAGTCCCAGATAGACAGGACGAGCAAAGAAAACAAACTAAAAGCAAACTGCAATTAGCCATCACACGGATGTCGCAGAGCTGCTCTAAACGTCGCCACCTGCAAGAAGCCTCCAACCAAACTAAGGATCAGGTTTCTGTCTCTTCTCTCTCCTTGTCTCTCCCTCTATGTTACATGGTTAAGATGATGATTGTTGTAACCAATTCTATTGTAGGTATCTTCTCATCCGCAATCTCAATTTAAAATTACTCTTCCAGGCGATGAAGTACCAAAGTGGTTCAGCTGCTGTAAAGAAGCAACACTAGTTAAAGACGAATACACTTCTAGGGTTGCTCGATGTGAAGTTTGTTTTGAAATTCCTCCAAATTTAGATTGGGAGACGTTAAGATTGGTTCTATGTGTTGTTAATAAAGGAAAGTTATCTGTTGATAGAGGCAGGGCAGACACATATGTTCATATCAATAGAAAAATGGTCCAATTGACACATATGAAACCAAAGGAAACTCATGTGGCTCTTGAGTGTATTACATTATTGAATCTGAGCATCGTACGAACTCATGAGGCTCATCAACTTATTCCATTACATGTGGGGGAAGAACTGACGTGGTTGCAGCAGGGCAATATGTGTCAAATTATATTTGAGTTCTATGACATGCCCACACCCGTTAAAATCCTCTGCGGGGTCCACCTATTAGGCCACCAAGTTGCTGATGTCACAGTTGATCCTGGGCGAAGGCAGTGGTTGTTGCCTGATGCGATGGCAGTGGACGATGATATTCATGATGATCAACACCAAGACAACGAATTGCTTTCCTTGCCTTCAGCATCAGAGACTAGTCTTGGCAAGAGGCCTCGGTTATCAGATTTCATGGCACTTGATGTTGATCATCGTGCTAACGTCGTCGACGTTGGTTATCATGAAGCTCAAAGAGGAGAGGCGAATCACCCAAAGAGGAGGCACACTGATTTTAACGAGGAGCCAAAGTATGTAAATCCATTAAATGTTGAATGATATATTTGCACTTTCTGGTCATATATCAACATTTTATGTTCAATTCAAATTTAGCAATATTTTGTTGTGCATCTCTTGGGTATATGTTTGTAGCTTTCAGGGTGTTTTTTTTGTTTTTTTTGTTTTGGGTTAAATCCTTTTTCTTAGCGCTCTACGTTTGATATTAAATTCTCAGGCAATGAAGTTCCGAAGTGATTTATGTGAGCCCCAGGTTCATATGTAAGCCCCAGGTTCAGCTGTCGATACGAACCAAATTTCCAGGCAATGGTCTGGTAATCAAGAGGTGTGTTGAGGCGCCAGCAGTTTCTGAGATTCCATTTTAAGTTGCATAAGGCAATACCTTTCTTCTCAATTGATGCATCCAGCATTTATCCGCAGATGAACAAAACTGGTTGCAAGCCGGATTTATCTATGCTTTCATTCCACACATATGCTTTGTCTATGCTTTATCTATGCTTTCATAATTTCCTATCAAGGTTTGTTGAAAATCAGACATTAATTCTAAACTTTCGTCCAAATATGCCCAAAATATTTTTGTTGAAAGATTGTCTCATTACACTAGTAATGTTGCTGGTATTGGCAAGGTACAAGAATCCTAGCATGTCTAAATCATGTCAAGTTGCTGCAACTCACGTTGCTGGTACAGTTCAAGATTTTTTGATAATCCTGCAAGGGCATGGAATGAAAAGCTTGATGAGCAGCAATAGTGTCATGCATATTATGTTGTTTTCGAACTCCTGTCTAGTTTGCGAATAGATCTTGGTTCTTTGAATACCAGTTGCTGTTTGAACAGCCCTGGTAGAGCTAACATCTCCAGTGGCTCCATTGCCCAAAAAGAATTTGGCTTTTGAAACTAAGAAAAAGACGGCAGGAATTATAACTTCTTTCTTTGTTCACGAAAGCTCATTATAATTCTCATTGGATGACCGGATAGCTACTGTAGATGTCGAATGTCCAATTTTATCCACCAAAAATTACAAGGGGCATCTCATAGTCAAAAAGATAACTACAACTTACAATGTGAACTGACACCAAGTAAAACTTATGACAAACAGGAATAAATGTCCCTACAACACAAAAACAAAAAATCACTTCATACAGCATTATTATAACAAGAGAGAGGCACACAGCAGTGTAAATGTTGACAAATATGCACGGCACAACCATGTGTCTGTGGAGCGCTGCAAAACCGGCCACATTGCCGCAAAGAAAAAGCTCCGCATTGAAATGGCTCAAACCAACATATTCAAGCATCACCAACTTGGTTATATTCCTACATAAGCCACTGTCCGACAAATACAAACGCCTATACCTCATTTTTGCCACCATTCTTGGCGTATGGTGCCTTTACAGCTCTGCATGGTGGCCTTGAAACTTGTTTGAATTGAGTTGTATTTCCTATCATATAGCCAGCCACACCGAAAGACCATGCACATACCACAAAGCAAACAATCTCGAACAATCATGATCGAAAGTTTGCCATTCTGAACAGTTTTAGCCAAGCAAATCTTTAAACAAGTTGGGATTCCAAGGCATCTTTAGGGTTAGGACCCTTATTCAATTGTGTTACCCCACTTTGAGCAGTTCTTGTAGCATTTGATAACTCAGATGCAAGATTAAACTCATCCCTATTGGTCGGCAAAGGGTCGCCAACACTGCTACTAAGCCCGCTGAGAGATGTATCTGCTTATAATCCCATAATATCAGGTGTCTTAGCAGCAACAGCTGCACCATGATTTGCAGTTACTGCAACTTCAGTTTGATCAAGAAGGCCTACTAACTGCTTGAAAGGATCTACAGTGGAAGCAGTACTACTAGTTGAGTCACCCAAATCGAGCAAGTCTGGAGCAGGTTCATGATTAACTTCAGTGTGTACAGCTGCTGCCTTTGGTACCTGGGGCTTCTCTGAAGCATGGATATTCGCCTTAGACACCTTATGGTTGGCAGAAGATGGCCTCCTCTCGGTTTTTGATGATCCCCCAAACAGTGAACTGGCAAGCTTCTGCTTTTCTGGAGAAATTTCAACCTGGGGCCTCCTTGACTCATAAGTATCACGTGCTTTTGAATTTGAAGCGCTCACGCTATCTATTTGTGTGACCCCATTCGCTGATTTCTGGGAACTAGAACTAGAGGAATTTGAGATCGACAAGCTGGAGAGGAGTATGTTGGCCTACCCCATTTTCTTTGAACACCATCTAGTCGTAACTTAAGTTCCGATGATCCTGCATCTGTCACAGGTGGCAATGATGCAGGCTGGCGGATCTCTCTAGCATAAGATGGTTCAGGAACTGGAACAAGCTCGGTTGAGGATGCAACTGCAGCTGGAGGAATTCTTGATGGCAATGCTGGCTTTGGAAGCACATATGCCTCAAACCTAGACCATGGGTTAAATATTCATGCTGATCTTGGTTACTGAAGTTGCTGATATTTAACATTCCAGAGCGCTCATTCTCGGGAATATAGGGCTGAGCACCTTTCTCTAGTGCTTGCTGGACATAGCCATTGAGGAATGAAAGGCTTTTATCAATCTGCAAGAGAAAGATGAATATTAATATTACACAAAATAATCTTATTCAAGAAATAAATAAATAAATGGTTTCCGCATGATCCAAAATCAAGGTTTTCAAGCATATTAGAGAAATACAATTGCAAAATCCATGAAAAGAGCAACTTATAACTAAAGGGAAGAAATAAGATGCAAGGACCAGGGACGAAGAAGTCGGGAAACTAATTAAAGCATGTCGTGTTATACCAATTAGAATCACTTGATTAACATCCAGGTATTACCAACCAAAGGCATCTACATAAATTAAGTTTCACCAGTATAATATGATGCATGTTGGTCAAATAAGCAATTTTAATCATTCATAAACTGATTCCAAATTTTTCTCGATCTAAACCACAAGATCTATATCATCATGTTTATATGCACCAAAACTACAACAAATAATAAGGCTGCAGAAACCCATGTACAATTTAATACAATTTAATAACTGACATTATCACAATTGGGACCTGAAGATTATTACCTTCACATTGATCCATGCATGCATACACGAATTTACCAAATAAAAGAAGGGAAAGCAATAATTTGCTGACCTTATTAAAACCTGTGCAGTTGATAACTGTATACATATATACATTCATAGCACATTTTCAAAATTTACCAAATAAAATATTGGAAGGTCAAGAACAGCATTCACCAAACAATACATGACATCTTTCTACTTAAACAGATTAAGGTATCTAGTCAGATTATTTTTCAGTCAACATTTACAATGGCCTTTTTCTTTTGGACCAAAAAAAGTCCTTCATTTAATGATTTGCTTGCCTATTTATAGGGGCTGAGTGTTCAGTATTTAAAAAATATCACTAATGCCCTTGCAATTGTCAGATATGGGCCCTTACTTTTTCTCAAACTTCATCCCATAAGTAGTACGGATAGGGCATATTTGACAAGGAAGCAAGCAAATTTACAGTTTTAAAAATATTCCTCTGTTAGGATACATGTTCATTTGTCATAGTATTTCTATTTCGGAAAATATTCTTCTGGATCTACAGTTTTAAAAATATTTAATGTTGTGTCATGATTCATAATAACGTATCTATGAAACACAAACACAATCATGATCTGAAAAACTGAATTATGTTGCATCAAAGATAATGTACCCATATGAGAAAGTACATTATCACGACGTGGAAAAGTGGTACGTCCTATTAGAACAATTTACAAGGCAACTACATTTTTTAATGAGACATACATTAGTTCACTTTCCTTACACCTAATTTATATTCATCAAGGATTCTATTTGATATATCTCAACAAATGCTTTCCAAAAGATACATTTTGTAAATATAAAAAAACCAGAGAAAATTAAAGTTACAGTATATCGTTTGGCATATAACAATAAGAGAGTCACCAAACTTAATGCAATCACAAGGTTAAACAGCCATTAGACTTTACCATTAGAAAACAGGAGGTTCAGACAGTAAGCCAACAACCACCAAATAACAAGGAAAAGAGAAATGCAGAACTACTATAGTTCTTAATACTTTAAAGGAGAAGCAAAAAAAAGAAGGGTACGAGTAGATAATGCAATTAAATATGACCTCAATGTCTTCACAACTTGCATCTGACGGCATAATACTCTCAACTGCAGGAGCATCTAAGCTAATGACAGCTTGCAATTCATATGCACGCTGCTGCAGATCTGTTGA